ATGACAGCATCCTCCCCCTGTCCTGCCCCGACTTGGCAATGACTGCATACAACAACGAGCTGTCAACAGCCCTTGACTCACTAGCGCCTTTAACCACACGCAACATCAGACCCCGACCGCTCCAGCCCTGGCAGACTGATCACACCAAAACCCTCAAACGACACAGTCGTGCCCTGGAGCGACTATGGCGCAAAACCAAATCCCAACAAGCCTTCACCCGCTACAAATCTGCCTTCCACACCTACACCTCCTCCCTCCAGGCAGCCAAACAAGCCTACTTCCTGACCCTCATCAAGACCCTCTCCTCCAATCCTCTCCGACTCTTCTCCACCTTCAACTCTCTACTCTCGCCACCCCCACCTCCACCCAGCACCTCACTCACCGCCCTTGAGATTGCCAATCACTTCAAAAACAAGATTGACACAATTCGCAAGGTCATTGCCACAACTCACACACCCTCTCAACCCGTCCCCTCTCACACAGCTACCCCCTCATCCCCCCCCTCCCTTGTTATAACCCGCAGGGACTTCGTCACTGCTCAAACTCCCTCCAACCCCGTTCCCTCTCACTCAGCTACCCCCTCATCACCCCTCTCCCACAGCCCCACCACTGCTCTGACCTCCACTTCCACCCCACCCTACATTCCTCATACTGAAGTTCCCCCAACACTCCGCACCTTTGACCTTACTACCATCGAGGAAGTCTCCAAGATCCTCTCTGATGCCCGCCTCTCCACCTGCCCCCTCGACCCTATCCCCTCACAGCTCCTACGACCTCCCTCCCCCTCCATCCTACACTCCCTCACCCACATCTTCAATCGCTCCCTCTCCTCAGGCACTCTCCCCTCCCCTCCCCTCTGAAACATGCACACATCACCCCCATACTTAAAAAGCCCTCGCTGGACCCCAATGACCCGAACAACCTCAGACCCATCTCCCTGCTCCCATTTACATCTAAACTCCTCGAGCGCCTCGTCTACACCCGCCTATGCTCTCACCTCAACGACAACCACCTCCTCGATCCCCTACAGTCCGGCTTCCGTCCCCTACACTCCACCGAAACCGCCTTACTCAAACTCTCCAACGACCTTCTAACCACCAAAGCTAATGGCCACTAATCAGTGCTCCTACTCCTTGACCTCTCTGCGGCCTTCGACACAGTCGACCACCCCCTCCTCCTCAAAAAACTACACTCCTCCTCGGCCTCAGAGATTCTGCTCTCTCCTGGCTCTCATCCTACCTGTCACAATGCTCCTTCAGCGTTACCTATAATGCTACCACCTCCCCCTCACTCCCCCTCTCTGTTGGGGTCCCTCAAGGCTCTGTCCTTGGGCCCCTTCTCTTCTCCATCTACACCTCCTCCCTTGGCCAACTCATACACTCTCACGGCTTCAACTACCACCTCTATGCCGACGACACACAAATCTATCTCTCAACCCCCCCACCTCACCCCCTCGGTCTCTGCCCGAATCACACACCTACTGAGCCACATATCAGATTGGATGTCGCTCCACTTCCTTAAACTGAACCTCTCCAAAACCGGGTTTCTTGTCTTTCCCCCAGCCCGGACCCCACCCCCCATTGACTTCTCCATCACATCCAACAACGCCAATATCAAGCCCGCCCTGCAGGCCAGAGTACTTGGTGTCATTCTGGACTCCAACCTATCCTTCCAGCCCCAAGTCCAATCTTTAACAAACTCGTGCAGACTCCACCTCCGCAAATTTGCCAAAATACGCACGTTCCTAACCCCAGAAACCACTAAACACTCATCCACTCCCTCATCATATCACGACTCGACTACTGCAACTCCCTCCTCACTGGCCTGCCTCGCCGCTGGCTATCCCCGCTTCAGTCAATCCTGAATACGGCTGCCAGACTCATTCACCTTTCCAACCGCTCCGTTTCCGCCACCCCCCTCTGCCAATCCCTCCACTGGCTTCTGATTGCGCAACGGATCAAATTCAAAATCCTAACACTGACGTACAAAGCCGTCCACCACACTGCCCCGAACTACATCACTGACCTAATATCAAAGTACCGCCCAGCACGCACACTCCACTCCTCACAAGACCTCCTTCTCTCTAGTTCCCTGGTCTCCTCCTCCCATGCCCACCTCCAGGACTTCTCCAGGGTGTCACCCATCCTCTGGAACTCCCTGCCCCAACCCATCAGATTATCACCTACTCTCCTCTCCTTTAGGCGCACCCTGAAAACCCATCTCTTCAGAGAAGCCTACCCCACCCCCTGCTAACTTGACCGACCTCCTCCACTCTTCCTACCACTCCATTCCCCACAGCTATCTCCTCCTGTGCCACCATTCCCTCCCTCCTAGATTGTAAGCTTGAAAGAGCAGGGCCCTCAATCCCCTCATGTTTTGCATTGTATTGGTATTGTTCTGTCACATGTTCTGTCCCCCTTTTGTAATGTACAGCGCTGAGCGAACTATTGGCGCTTTATAAATACTGTATAATAATAATAATATTGTGGGGACTCCGGTCATTATGCAGTTAATTGTCCTAACAAAGTTAGAACAATTGCTATGGCTGATGTGATTGTGCCTGAACAAATAGACTCTTTTAGCCAGTCTGTCTCCCCACTGATTCCTGAAGAAAATAAAATGAACTCTGCTCTCTAATTTTGTCATCCCCATTAAATTTGTATCCAAAGGCCGTGAAATCTCCTGCTCAGCTATGCTAGACTCCGGGGCTGGGGAGAACTTTATGGATATAGAATTTGCCCACAGCAATAATATTCAAGCAAGAAATACGTTTGCCCCTATTGATATGGAGACAGTTGATGGTTCACCCCTATCTTCAGGACCTGTTACCCATAAAACGGTTCCTCTGGTACTGCAGTTTGAGGCTGACCATTGTGAGACCATCAGCATTCAGCTAATTACGTCACCCAAGTTTACTATCTTCCTGGGCATTCCTTGGTTCTCCACTCACAATCCCTCCATCAGCTGGGGAGCAGGGACTATAGATTTTACGTCCCCCCACTGTGAAAAATACTGTAGGAAACTTTGTCGGGCAAGTTCTTCAGCGGCCAAGGAATCGCAAGTTGATGTGGTAGCTATCTAGTCATATGACAACTTGTCTCCACAATACCATGAGTTCCAGGATGTCTGTGATAAGAAAAATGCCGATCAATTACCTCCTCATCGTCCATATGATTGTCCCATTGAGCTGCTCCTAGGGTCAGAAATACCTTTTGGCCACCCTTTTAATCTGTCAGAACCTGAATTAAAGGTGCTGAGGGAGTGGCTTGATAAAAATTTAGAGAAGGGCTTTACTAGACACTCAACATCTCCTGCAGGAGCAACCTTGTTCATCGTTGAAAAGAAAGACTCCACCTTGTGTCCATGCCTTGACTACAGGGACATGAATAAAATCACTATTAAAAACCAACCACTATCCACTCCCCTTCAGGTGACCCATCTATGAAACCACCCTAAACAATAAGTATTGGCATACAATTGCAATCAATTACACTACCTTGAGATTTTCAAACAAAGTACCATAAATTGACAATTGTGGGACCCGGTAATCGGCATTCCTCGGAGGGGACATGTACACAGATCATCAGGGCACTGATGATCAGTGTGCCCTGATGATCTGTGTAGCCCCAGCAGTGCCACCTGTCAGTGTCCATCAGTGCCAGCTCTCAGTGTTCATCCATGCCACCTGCCAGTGCCCATCAGTGCCACATCAGTGCCACATTTCAGTGCCACATCAATGCCACATATCAGTGCCCATCTGAGCTGCCTTTCAGTGTCACCCATCAGTGCCAGTCAGTGCCACCTATCAATGCCAGTCAGTGCCACATATCAGTGCTGTCAATCAGTGCCACCTGTGTTGCCAATCAGTGCCGCCTATCAGTGTGCATCAGCGCTGTCTATCAGTGCCGCCTTACAGTGCCAGTCAGTGCCACCTAACAGGGCCAGTCAGTGCCACCTATCAGTGCCAGTCAGTGCCACTTATCAGTGCCATATGAGTTCTGCCTTTCAGTGCCCATCAGTGATGCCTGTCAATGCCCATCAGTGCCACCTATCAGTGTCCATAAGTGCAGCCTATCAGTGTCCATCACTGTAGCCTCATTAGCGCACATCAATGACATCATTATACAGAGATCCGCCATTTCAGGACAAAAATCAGCAATCAAAATACAGCTCTCATATCAGGAATATGAGACACCAAATCTATTCATATATATACTGTATATATGGACCTTATTCAAAAGATATCGGGGAAAGTCATTTTAAACCTAAATAGGACCCACACATTTTATATATAAGGACATACTTTATATAAAGGTTGAGTCATCATTAAGATCACCAATTCATTCGTGATACATGACTGTATCCAAACCCTTTGGGAGGTCCTTCGGAACAATGGACTTAGACTGTATAAAAGATGCCACAAACTTGATGGAAATACTTACTTTTTTTTATATAAACTCACTTTTCACAGATGCTTTACTTTTGACCTTTATACTTATACTTACTCTTCAGATATATACTTCACTTTTTGATACTTACACTTCACTTTTCATATACTTCACTTTTGCACACTCACTTGCTACCTGCTAAATCCTGCCATTCTGCTGAGAACTTCCTGCTACCATTTTATTTTTGAAAACTATTTTGGAAAAGAAGATTTTTGCCAGAGACTGCTGCTGATCCAAGTTTTGTACCTGACTGACCAGAAACAATTTTTTTTTCTTTTCCCAACTGCATCCCACTGGAAGACCTCAGAAATTGCAATTCTGGGAGTGGTGAGACTGTGCCAGAATATTGTAATTTTTTTTTATATTTAAAACTTATTAGAGTTAATAACATTTTATTGTGTGGTTAGGATAACATTGTGCATAGCTATTAATTGACATAGTGTACGGAGGTTATCTGGATACCGTATTTTTCGCTCCATAAGACGCACCTGACCATAAGACGCACCTAGGTTTTAGAGGCAGAAAACAGGAAAAAAAAATTCTGAACTAATGGACTGCAGACATAGTACAGGAGATGACCAAAGACTGCAGACATAGTACAGGAGATGACCAGAGACTGCAGACATAGTAGAGGAGATGACCAGAGACTGCGGACAGTACAGGGATGACCAGAGACTGCGGACACAGTACAGGGATGACCAGAGACTGCGGACATAGTACAGGAGATGACCAGAGACTGCGGACATAGTACAGGAGATGACCAGAGACTGCGGACATAGTACAAGAGATGACCAGAGACTGCGGACATAGCACAGGAGATGACCAGAGACTGCAGACACAGTACAGGGGATGACCAGAGACTGCAGACACAGTACAGGGATGACCAGAGACTGCGGACACAGTACAGGAGATGACCAGAGACTGCAGACACAGTACAGGAGATGACCAGAGACTGCAGACATAGTACAGGAGATGACCAGAGACTGCGGACACAGTACAGGAGATGACCAGAGACTGCGGACAGTACAGGGATGACCAGAGACTGTGGACACAGTACAGGGATGACCAGAGACTGTGGACACAGTACAGGGGATGACCAGAGACTGCGGACAGCACAGGGATGACCAGAGACTGCGGACATAGTACAGGAGATGACCAGAGACTGCAGACACAGTATAGGAGATGACCAGAGACTGCGGACAGTGCAGGGATGACCAGAGACTGCAGACAGTGCAGGAGATGACTGCTGACCTTTGGGGAGGTGGGGAGCGGGTACCTGAATTTGACAGGTACCCGCTCTTACTTCCGCAGAGTTTTTTTTTATCTTACCTGTTCCTCTATCCAGCCGCGCGCTGTCTTCCCGGCTTCTGTAGTGTGGGCGCTCGTCGGACAGCCGGATGCCCAGTGCGCATGCGCGAGAAGCGCTGCGCTTTGTGATTGGTCCGGCGGCTTCTGGGATCTGTCATGTGTCCCAGGTACCGCCTTACTATTCACAAAGAGCACTGCTTCTTGCTCATGCGCACTTGGGACCCGGCTGTCACGCACACTACAGAAGCCGGGAAGACAGCGCGCCGCTGGATAGAGGGACAGGTAAGGTCCCACTGCAGAGCTGAGCGGCCGGCCCGGTATTCTGACACGGCGGCGGTGGAAATACCGGACCGGCCGCTCTATATTCGCTCCATAAGACGCACTGACATTTTCCCCCCTTTTTTGGGGGAAAAAAAGTGCGTCTTATGGAGCGAAAAATACGGTAATTATTAATATAACTTTTTGGGTATTGGTACTGATATTATATACTGTATACTAACTTATTTGTATTGTTTTTGTTATGCTAATTATCAGAGATACTTTCTTATTTCCCTACGGCCCCGGGAAATTGGAAATAATATCTGAAGCACTATAAGTTGATACTAACCCCTCTAAAATTTGTTTTACATTATTTGATAGACATATATTGTGTTTTTATACCATAGAGGTTAACATAATATATCTTTTTGTGTAAGAATATACTCATCACCAGTAATTTTGTTTGTATTACTATACAGTATATGTAAATATTTGTACATAAATGTATTTTTTTATTTATCAAAAAGGCAAAGTTTGTGTATATGGTAAAGAAATCACATTCGTGAAAAGAACTCAAGGAATAATATAACGTGGTGATCAAATTATTAAGGTTTCCAAATTATTGGTTTATTAAATATTTACCGTATTTTAACGGCTAGAGGCACTGCAAAATTTTGTTTCAAGGAATTGGACAACACCCTATTTAGTTAGAATAAAAGATATCATAAACCACCACACTTACAAGGGGCATAAAACCTTGTCCGCATTCGTCAAGGAGACAAATGGAAAACCGCTTTTAGAACCAGGAATGGGCATTTCGAGTTCTTGGTTATGCTGTTTGGACTTTTAAATGCCCCTGCGACTTTTCAGCACTTCATCAACTATGTTTTTCGTGATCTGTTGGACCAATTTGTGATTGCTTATCTGGATGATATTCTCATATTTTCCGATAATCTGGAGGAGCACCGCAAACATGTTTGCACCTTCTTTGAAAGATTAAGGATGAATAGACTTTACATTAAATTGGAGAAATGCGAATTTGAACAAACCCAGATCCAGTTATTAGGCTATATTATTTCTCCAGAAGGAGTGAGCATGGATCCCGAGAAGATCAAAGCCTGTCTCAGCTAAGTGATGAAAAAATTTAGCTTCATCCTTGTGCTTACTTGTCTCATTTGATGTCTTCAGGCAAAAGGAAATTTTGACATTGGGAATAAAGAGTTACTGGCAATTAAGGAAGCCTTTTCTGAATGGAGGCATCTGCTGGAAGGGGCTAAGCATCCTGTAACTGTTCTCACTGATCATAAAAATCTGAAATTCATTTGCTCTGCCAAGAGATTGTCTTCTAGACAAGCATGTTGGTCTTTATTCTTTTCCAGATTTAATTTTATTATCTCGTATCAACCTGGATCGAGGGATGGTATGGCCAATGCCTTATCAAGGATGTTGTCTGAGCCTCCCCAAAAACTTCCTAGGGTCACAAGTACCAAGACATTCTTGAGTCTTCTCAAAGAGGGGTATGAGAATGACCCACTTCACAATCATCCTCCTAAGGACATGAACTTTGAATACAAGAACGACTTTTGGACTCAAACACATCATCTCTATGTACCTGAATCTGCTCGGGTGGAAGCCCTCAAATTAGTTCATGATTCTAAACTTGCAGGACATTTTCGGATTTCTAAGACAGATGAACTTTGTCATGTTCCTTCTGGTGGCCTGGTTATAAGAAAGATGTAAAACGCTATGTGGCCTCCTTTCTGACGTACTGTATGCACGCCATAAGACATGCCGAGCTTCTCCTTTGGGGTTGCTCCAGCCACTTCCTGTTTCATCAAGACCTTGCTGGTCAATTTCTATGGAATTTGTGGTTGATTTACCTCCCTCAAAATAATAGACACTATCTTGGTAGTCATCGACTGTCTTACTAAGATGGCTCATTTTATACCGGTTCAGGGGGCACCTTCTGCTGAACAAACTGCGGAGTTGGTGGTTCGAGATTTTTTTTAAACTACATGGAATTCCTGATGATGTGGTATCTGACAGAGGAGTATAGTTTACTTAAAAATATTGGAAAAGCTTTTGTTCAGCTTTAGGGGTAACAATTAACCTGTCATCTGCTTTTCATCCTCAGTCTAATGGTTAGACCGAGAGGAACAATCAAACTTTGCAGCAGTACCTTTGGTGTTTTGTCCGTTATCTTCAGGATGACTGGGTGGACTATCTTCCTAGGACAGAATTTGCCTATAACAATTCTAAACATAGCTCTACCTCCCAAAGCCCTTTTTTCCTCAATACTGGGTATCATCCAGTTTTTATTCCTGATCTCCCTATCGCAACTCAATTTCCTGCTGTTGCCAACAGATTAACTACATTGCAGGAGATTCAGGCACAGGTGATCGAGACTTTGGGGGAGGCTCAAGAATGTTATAAAAAGGCTGCCAACAGACATCGCAGATCACTTTCTACCTTTCATGTGGGCGACAAGGTTTGGCTATCAACCACAAATCTGAAGTTTCATGTTCTATCTGCAAAGTGGGCCAAAAGTTTGTGGGACCTTTCCAGATTTCTGCTCAGATCAACCCCGTCACCTTTCACTTAAAACTTCCTGACAGTATGAAGATTCGCCCTGTTTTTCACATATCGCTATTGAAACCATTTCATGAAAATCCTTTCTCTGGAAGAATTCTTACACCTTCTCCGCCTGTTGAGGTACAGGGTAAAGAAGAATATATGGTGGGGAAATTTTCTTGACTCTAGGATGTTTAGAAATAAATTACAATATCTTGTTCAATGGGAAGGATATGGGCAAGAGGAGAATTATTGGGGGCCTGAGGAAAATGTTCATGCTCCTAGATTAACAAGAGAATTCCATCAGAGGTTTCCCCACAAGCCTGGTCCTAATATGTCCAGGGGACGTCCTGTGAGGAGGGCAGTACTGTCAGAGCCTGGGTCCGAACCTGGGCCTTTGCGGTGAGTGGCAATGTTTCTTCTTGCTCCCCCTCCTGTATTCCTGTGCCTGTTCCTGTGAGTGATACTTGTGATTGACCCCGGCTTGCTTCTTGGACTCCGCCCTGCCTTCTATCTCTGCTTGATCTGCTCCCACTATCACTAACCGTGGCTTGTGACCCGACCATTCTTCTGCCTGCCCTTTATGCCTGATCTGCTTATCTGTTACCGACCCGGCCTGTCTGACCCTGCATACAGCATGATACACTGCTCTGCTACCAGCCTGCTCTGCCACCAGCCAGTCCCTCTGTGACGTCTGCCTACTGCCTGTGTGCACCAGCCTGCTCTGCCACCAACCAGTCCTGCTGTGACGTCTGCCTACTGCCTGCCTGCTTTGCTACCAGCCTGTCCCACTGTGACGTCTGCCTGCTGCCAGCCAATCCAGCTGTGACGTTTGCCTGCTACCGGCCTGCTCTGAGTGACCCCGGCTTGCTTCTTGGACTCCGCCCTGCCTTCTATCTCTGCTTGATCTGCTCCCACTATCACTGACCGTGGCTTGTGACTCGACCATTCTTCTGCCTGCCCTTTATGCCTGATCTGCTTATCTGTTACCGACCTGGCCTGTCTGACCCTGCATACAGCATGATACACTGCTCTGCTACCAGCCTGCTCTGCCACCAGCCAGTCCCTCTGTGACGTCTGCCTACTGCCTGTGTGCACCAGCCTGCTCTGCCACCAACCAGTCCTGCTGTGACGTCTGCCTACTGCCTGCCTGCTTTGCTACCAGCCTGTCCCACTGTGATGTCTGCCTGCTGCCAGCCAATCCAGCTGTGACGTTTGCCTGCTACCGGCCTGCTCTGCTGGTACCTGGGCCTTCTGTGGTGAGTGGCAATGTTTCTTCTTGTTGAGTCACCAGGAATGCTGGACAGCTCCCTTGACAATTATTTGAATGATCCTGCCTTGACCTTGTTTGTCGTGGACCCTTGCTTCTCCCATGAACTTCCTGATATAAGCCATATCTCTGCACTTCCTATTTGTCAGATTATTGTGTTCTCCAGCCAGTATCTTGATTAGAGATGAGCGAAGTATTCAAAAATTCGATTCGGGTGATTCGGCGAATTTGAGGAATAAATTCGATTCGAGTCGAATATATTCGCTGCGAATTTAACTTATAAAAGGGTGTTTCTAGGCTTCAGAGAGCCTTTATATTAGTGCAGAAAATATACTGTCAGTCAGTATGACATGCAGGATGAGTGCCGTCGATCTTAGAATCACCGCACACTTCACTCATTTGGGCAGTCACGGGGCCAAAACCAGAGTGTGGAGCCACAGTGTGGCGGTGGAGGCAGCAGCAATGGGAGGCCATACAGCACCCTATGACAAAATGGAACCCCACCAGCAGTGTGAGGAGACCTGAAAGTGGCACAATGGGCACATGCAGAGTGTGGCGATGGGAGACAGCAGCAATGGGAGGCCGTACAGGGACTTATGACACACTCTGGACCTGGCAGCAGCATGAGGAGCGGTACAGGGGCCCATGGCAGATTACAGGCCTGGCAGCAGCAATGGGAGGCCCGTTTTGTTTAACCTGACAGCACCCTATGACAAAATGGAACACACAGCAGTGTGAGGAGAACAATATGAAAAATTAGCCTATGACAAAATGGAAACACACAACAGCAGTGTGAGGAGACTGAAAGTGGCACATGGCAGAGTGTGGCGATGGAGACAGCAGCAATGGGAGGGCCGTACAGGGACCCATGACAGATTACGGGCCTGGCAGCAGCATGAGGAGGTGGTACAGGGGCCCATGGCAGATTAACGGGCCTGGCAGCAGCAATGGGATGCCCGTAATCTGCCAGCACCCTATGACAAAATGGAACCCACCAGCAGTGTGAGGGAGACCTGAAAGTGGCACATGTTTGGGGCATGATCATGGCGGATTTAGTCAGTTGGGTCAGGAACTGGTGGTTTTGAATCCAAAGTGAAGTCAGACATTTGAAAATGGCCCACATGCTGTAGTGTCCATGGCGGATTTAGTTCAGTTGTGTCAGGAACTGGTGGTTTGAAAATCCAGACTAATCCACGCCTGATTCATTTTCACAAACGTGAGTCTCTCCACACTTTGGGTGGACAGTCGTGTCCTCCGCGGAGTTACAATACCTCCTGCCGCACACTAAACACGCGCTCCGATGCCACGCTACTGGCCGGCATGGCAGCCTTTCAAGGGCAAATTCAGCTAGTTGGGGCCAAAGGTCAAGTTTCGTTGCCCAGTAGTCAAGGGGATTGTCTACCTCAGTTGGCAGGGTGCTGTCCAAGTAGGCCTAAGCCTGTTGTTTGAGGTCCTGCTCCAGGTCCACCTGATGCTGCTGCTGCTGCGGCTGGTTAGTAGTTTCCTCACTCACTGCGCTGGAGAAGAAAGCTACTCATCATCGACTGCAGACTGAGGCAGCCGCTGCTGGTGGAGCTGCCACTGCTCCTACCACCCCACCCTCCCCTGCTGCCATGGCAGCGGAACGCGAGCGCACAGGGCCCACAGTGTCTGAGGATGGACGTTGGCGCAGAAAGGCAGAGACCAACTGACTACATAGGTGGTTTTTATAGTACTTTATTTTGGCCTCCCTCTCAGCAGGTGTGAAAAAAGGCCACCATTTTTGAACGGTAGCAAGGGTCCAACAAGGTGGACAGCCAAAAGTCATCCCTCTGTCTGATGGTTATTATTCGGCTGTCGCTACGCAAGCAACCAAGCATGCTATGGGCCATTTGTGCCAAGGAATGCGAGGGGACTCCCTGCCTCCATCTCCACAGCATACTGCCACGGTGCGTCTGGGTCCTCTGTCTCCTCCTCCTCTACCAGATGCTCCTGCTCCTCCCACTCCTGTCCGCTGAGTGGAAAAACCACCCATTTCACTCAATAATTCCTGAGCACCAATGTCCTCCTCTACCTCCTCCTCTTCTTCCTGTCCTGCCCCCACAGGGGTCATGTGGCGTTGAGATCTGTGTGCGCCACGTCTACCGCACCCTGACCAGCCATTGTTAACAGCATTTGTTCCAGAACGTGCAACAGAGGAATGACGTCGTTCATCCCATAGTCCTGCCGACTCACGAATAGCGTGGCCTCCTCAAAGGGCCTGAGCAAGTGGCAGGTGTCACGCATGAGCTGCCAATGGCTGACATCTAAGTTACACAGGGGAGTACCTTTATCCGCTTTTGTAACATCAGGAAATCGGTGATGGCCTTTCGCTGTTCGTAAAGGCGGTCTAACATGTGTAGGGTTGAATTCCACATTGTTGCAACGTCACAGCATGAGGAGTCGGTACGAGGGCCCATGGCAGATTACGGGCCTGGCAGCAGCAATGGGAGGCCCGTAATCTGCCGGCACCCTATGAAAAAATGGAAACACACCAGCAGTGTGAGGAGACCTGAAAGTGGCACATGGCAGAGTGTGGCGATGGAGACAGCAGCAATGGGAGGCCGTACAGGGACCCATGAGACACTGTGGACCTGGCAGCAGCATGAGGAGGCGGTGGTACAGGGGCCCATGGCAGATTACAGGCCTGGCAGCAGCAATGGGAGGCCCGTAATCTGCCAGCACCCTATGACAAAATGGAACACACCAGCAGTGTGAGGAGACCTGAAAGTGGCACATGGCAGAGTGTGGCGATGGGACAGCAGCTGTGAAATGGGAGGCCGTGTACAGGGACCCATGAGACACTGTGGACCTGGCAGCAGCATGAGGAGGCGGTACAGGGGCCCATGGCAGATTACAGGCCTGGCAGCAGCAAATGGGAGGCCCGTAATCTGCCAGCACCCTATGACAAAATGGAACACACCAGCAGTGTGAGGAGACCTGAAAGTGGCACATGGCAGAGTGTGGCGATGGAGACAGCAGCAATGGGAGGCCGTACAGGGACCCATGAGACACTCTGGACCTGGCAGCAGCATGAGGAGGCGGTACGGGGGCCCATGGCAGATTACGGGCCTGGCAGCAGCAATGGGAGGCCCGTAATCTGCCAGCACCCTATGACAACAAAATGGAACACACCAGCAGTGTGAGGAGACCTGAAAGTGGCACATGGCAGAGTGTGGCGATGGAGACAGCAGCAATGGGAGGCCGTACAGGGACCCATGAGAGACTCTGGACCTGGCAGCAGCATAAGGAGGCGATAGGGGGGCCCATGGCAGATTACGGGCCTGGCAGCAGCAATGGGAGGCCGGTAATCTGCCAGCACCCTATGACAAAATGGAACACACCAGCAGTGTGAGGAGACCTGAAAGTGGCACATGGCAGAGTGTGGCGATGGAGACAGCAGCAATGGGAGGCCGTACAGGGACCCATGAGACACTGTGGACCTGGCAGCAGTATGAGGAGGCGGTACAGGGGGCCCATGGCAGATTACAGGCCTGGCAGCAGCAATGGGGAGGCCCGTTAAGGCCCGTAATCTGCCAGCACCCTATGACTAAAAAATGGAAACACACCAGCAGTGTGAGGAGACCTGAAAGTGGCACATGGCAGAGTGTGGCGATGGAGACAGCAGCAATGGGAGGCCGTACCGTACAGGGACCCATGAGACACTGTGGACCTGGCAGCAGCAGGGATGAGGAGGCGGTACGGGGGCCCATGGCAGATTACGGGCCTGGCAGCAGCAATGGGAGGCCCGTAATCTGCCAGCACCCTATGACAAAATGGAACACACCAGCAGTGTGAGGAGACCTGAAAGTGGCACATGGCAGAGTCAGTGTGGCGATGGAGACAGCAGCAATGGGTGGGCGTACAGGGACCCATGAGACACTGTGGGACCTGGCAGCAGCATGAGGAGGGCGGTACGGGGGCCCATGGCAGATTACGGGCCTGGCAGCAGCAATGGGAGGCCCGTAATCTGCCAGCACCCTATGACAAAATGGAACACACCAGCAGTGTGAGGAGACCTGAAAGTGGCACATGGCAGAGTGTGGCGATGGAGACAGCAGCAATGGGAGGCCGTACAGGGACCCATGAGAGACTCTGGACCTGGCAGCAGCATGAGGAGGCGGGGTAAGGGGCCCATGGCAGATTACGGGCCTGGCAGCAGCAATGGGAGGCCCGTAATCTGCCAGCACCCTATGACAAAAAATGGAACACACCAGCAGTGTGAGGAGACCTGAAAGTGGCACATGGCAGAGTGTGGGCGATGGAGACAGCAGCAATGGGAGGCCGTACAGGGACCCATGAGACACTCTGGGACCTGGCAGCAGCATGAGGAGGCGGGTACAGGGGCCCATGGCAGATTACGGGCCTGGCAGCAGCAATGGGAGGCCCGTAATCTGCCAGCACCCTATGACAAAAAATGGAACACACCAGCAGTGTGAGGAGACCTGAAAGTGGCACATGGCAGAGAGTGTGTGGCGATGGAGACAGCAGCAATGGGAGGCTGTACAGGGACCCATGACACACTCTGGACCTGGCAGCAGCATGAGGAGGCGGTACAGGGGCCCATGGCAGATTAGGGGCCTGGCAGCAGCAATGGGAGGCCCGTAATCTGCCAGCACCCTATGTCAAAAAATGGAACACACCAGCAGTGTGAGGAGACCTGAAAGTGGCACATGGCAGAGTGTGGCGATGGAGACAGCAGCAATGGGAGGCCGTACAGGGGACCCATGACAGACTCTGGACCTGGCAGCAGCATGAGGAGGCGGTACAGGGGCCCATGGCAGATTAGGGCCTGGCAGCAGCAATGGGAGGCCCGTAATCTGCCAGCACCCTATGTCAAAAAATGGAAACACACCAGCAGTGTGAGGGAGACCTGAAAGTGGCACATGTTTGGGGCATGATTCATGGCGGATTTAGTCAGTTGTGTCAGGAACTGGTGGTTTGAAATCCAGACTAATCCACGCCTGATTCATTTTACAAACGTGAGTCTCTCCACACTTTGGGTGGACAGTCGTGTCCTCCGCGGAGTTACAATACCTCCTGCCGCACTAAACACGCGCTCCGATGCCACGCTACTGGCCGGGCATGACAGCCTTTCAAGGGCAAATTCAGCTAGTTTGGGGCCAAAGGTCAAGTTTCGTTGCCCAGTAGTCAAGGGGATTGTCTACCTCGGTTGGCAGGGTGCTGTCCAAGTAGGCCCAAGCCTGTTGTTTGAGGTCCTGCTCCAGGTCCACCTGATGCTGCTGCTGCTGCGGCTGGTTAGTAGTTTCCTCACTGCGCTGGTGAAGAAAGCTACTCATCATCGACTGCAGACTGAGGCAGCCGCTGCTGTGGTGGAGCTGCCACTGCTCTCCTACCACCCCACCCCTCCCCTGCCCTGCTGCCATGGCAGCGGAACGCGAGCGCACAGGGCCCACAGTGTCTGAGGATGGACGTTGGCGCGCAGAAAGGCAGAGACCAACTGACTACATAGGTGGTTTTTATAGTACGTTATTTTGGCCTCCCTCTCAGCAGAGGTGTGAAAAAGGCCACCATTTTTGAACGGTAGCGAGGGTCCAACAAGGTGGACAGCCAAAAAGTCATCCCTCTGTCTGATGGTTATTATTCGGCTGTGTCGCTAAGCAACCAAGCAACCGAGCATGCTATGGGCCATTTGTGCCAAGGAATGCGAGGGACTCCCTGCCTCCATCTCCACAGCATACTGCCACGGTGCGTCTGGGTCCTCTGTCTCCTCCTCCTCCTCCTCTACCAGATGCTCCTCCTGCTCCTCCACTCCTGTCCGCTGAGTGGAAAAAACCACCCATTTCACTCAATAATTCCTGAGCACAAATGTCCTCCTCTACCTCCTCCTCTTCTTCCTGTCCTGCCCCCACAGGGGTCATGTGGCGTTGAGATCTGTGCGCCACGTCTACCGCACCCTGACCAGCCATTGTTAACAGCATTTGTTCCAGGACGTGCAACAGAGGAATGACGTCGTTCATCCCATAGTCCTGCCGACTCACGAATAGCGTGGCCTCCTCAAAGGGCCTGAGCAAGCGGCAGGTGTCACGCATGAGCTGCCAATGGCTGACATCGAAGTTACACAGGGGAGTACCTTTATCCGCTTGTAACATCAGGAAATCGGTGATGGCCTTTCGCTGTTCGTAAAGGCGGTCTAACATGTGTAGGGTTGAATTCCACCTTGTTGCAACGTCGCAGATCAGGCGATGCTGTGGAATTCCGTTCTGCCGCTGCAGCTCAAGGAGGGTGTGCTTTGCGGTGTAGGAATGGCTGAAATGCATGCAAAGTTTACGTGACATTTTAAGGATGTCTTGCAGTGGGATGGTGGATTTTAGGAACCGCTTGACAACCAGATTGAACACGTGAGCCATGCATGGCGCATGGCACAACCTTCCTTGACGCAGAGCAGACACCATGTTCTTTCCGTTGTCGGTCAACATGGTTCCGATTTTCAGTTTGCGCGGAGACAGCCATCTGTCGATTTCTCTGTTCATTACACTCAGAAGTTCCTCCCCTGTGTGACTACGTTCGCCAAGGCATACCAGGTGCAGCACAGCGTGACACCGTTGCGCCCTGCACATGTGATATGCCGGTCGGGTAATGGGACTTGGCACGGGGGGGGTGTGGCGGGGGACGCTGAGGACACGGCGGAAGAAGAGGTGGTAGAGGCGGACATCTTTGTGGACCAAGGACGTGCAAACGTGGAGGCAAAAGCGGCGTGACCTGTCCATGTTGCTGGTGCGGCTGTGCCGGCACCACGTTCACCCAGTGGGCCGTAAATGACATGTACTGTCCCTGACCGTAGTTACAGCTCCACACGTCGGCGCTGCCGTGCACTTTGGCAGAGACCGACATGCTCAAAGACTGGCCCACCATGTCTTCTACATGTGAATGCAGGGCTGGCACTGCCTTTTTGGCGAAGAAATGACGGCTTGGCACTCTCCACCGCGGCGCGGCACAAGCCATCATTTCTCGGAAAGGTGCTGAGTCCACCACTTGGAAAGGGAGGGACTGCAGCACCAGCAACTTGGACAGGAGGACGTTCAGCTTTTGCACCGTCGGGTGCGTGCTCGCAAACTGTTGTCTCTTGGAAACGGATTCCAAGAAAGACTGCTGACGGAATCCGTGAAGAGGGAGTAGCAGGAGAAGGAGCATCTGAACGAGCGGAAGATGCCAACGAGCGACAACTCCCCTCAGCAGAGGTGTTGGAGCCTTGACTGGCTGATGGAGGGCGATTGACGTCGGGTGACGGAGCAAGTAACGGAGCGGGTGATGGAGCGGGGGCTGGGGCGGGCAGAACCGCCGTATCTTTATCACGGTTTTCCCAGGCCACCAAAATGGCGACGCTGCATATGCTGCCGCAACGCTGTAGTCCCAACATGGGCCCCCTGGCCACGCTTGACTTTCTGGCCACATAGTCGACATACGGCTACGTTTACTTCCTCGGGCGGCTTGACGAAAAAATTGCCACACCGCCGAGTAGGAAATTTGCCCTCCGTGCCCCCGATACTCCTCACTGGCTGACTGCTGCTTCCTCCGTGCACACCGGCACCACTACTGGCCGTGGTGGTAGGCTGCAGTGGAGCTGGTGCTCTACTCCGTGGCCGTTTGGCTCCACTGACACTGCTTCCACTGACACTGCTGCGACCCTGCTGCTGTCTCCTGGGCAACCCACCGACTGTTTCGCTCACTGCCAAGCTGCCACCCTCTTCTCCTGATGATGCGGAAGAAATTGCCTGATGACGACGAGGCTGCCAAGTGCGATCAACCTCCTCATCATCAAGTAGGGTCTCCGCCTCACTACTAGCCCCCTCGGCTGCGTCTGGGTCAGGAGACAGACCTGTCTCTAGACCGGCTACCGGGCCACTCTCCTCGCCACTACTTCTTCGCCTGGCTGCTGAAAAGGCGGATGTGTCTCCCCCGTTCCTGACCGCCCTCTGTTAGCTCTTCCTCACTGTACAGTGGGGCTGAGCCCACAGCATGCGATACTTCGCTTGGTGAGGGAACACCAAAGGACAGGGGCAGGTAGAGGACACGTGATTTCAGTGGGCTTGCTCCCGGGCCATGCCAACTAACGGTTGTGTCTGACGTACCCACCGACCGTTGGCTGTAGGTGTCAGAGGTGACCTGGGAAGAGGAAGACGACCGAGCCAACCAATCGATGACGGCAGGGTTGTCGGTGGAGACACGACCGCTGGATGACACCGGGAGCACTGGCCTCTGGCTGCGAATAGTGCTGCCTCGACCCCTTCCTCTGCTGCCACGTCTGCTCGCTCCTAAAACATTGCCTCCTCTGCCACTCCTCTGCATGTTGTCTGACATACTCTTTAATTAAACGATTATGTGGTCCCTGAGTAACAATTCTGTGTCCCTGAGTAACAATTCTGTGTCTGTCCCGAGTAACAATTCTGTGGCCCTAAGTAACAGTTCTGTGGCCCTGAGTAACAATTCTGTGGCCCCTGATTAACATTTCTGTGGCCCTAAGTAACAGTTCTGTGGCCCTCAGTAAACAATTCTGTGTCTGTGCGAGTAACAATTCTGTGTCTGTGCGAGTAACAATTCTGTGGCCCTAAGTAACAGTTCTGTGGCCCTCAGTAACAATTCTGTGTCCCTGATTAACGTTTCTGTGGCCCCAAGTAACAGTTCTGTGGCCCCTCAGTAACAATTCTGTGTCTGTGCGAGTAACAATTCTGTGTCTGTGCGAGTAACAATTCTGTGGCCCTAAGTAACAGTTCTGTGGCCCTCCAATTCTCTGTGTCAGTAACAATTCTGTGTCCCTGAGTAACAATTCTGTGGCCCCTAAGTAACAGTTCTGTGGCCCCTCAGTAACAATTCTGTGGCCCTCAGTAACACAGTTCTGTGTCTGTGCGAGTAACAATTCTGTGTCTGCCCGAGTAACAATTCTGTGGCCCTAACAGCCTCTAACAGTTCTGTGGCCCTCAGTAACAATTCTGTGTCTGTCCCTCGAGTAACAATTCTGTGTCTGTGCGAGTAACAATTCTGTGGCCCTAAGTAACACAGTTCTGTGGCCCTCAGTAACAGTTCTGTGTCTGTCCGAGTAACAATTCTGTGTCTGTCCCTGAGTAACAATTCTGTGGCCCTAACTAAAGTTCTGT